CTGTAAGATAACTACAGCTGCTTAGGTAGCTGATATGTACTATTGCTATATCTGGCGAGTATTTGGCCCGCCTAGGTCAATAGTCTCTAACCGCGGTCCTTAGTTCATCTTAGTATTTATGGATGAGCTATACTGACTAACAGGAATTAAGCAAAAGCTCTTAACGCTGTATCACCCTTAAACTAACGGGAATACTAAGGTCCTGAACTAGTACATTGACCAGCGCCTACGCCTATTCGTTAACCACTATTAAGACAACTAGTTAGACCTACTACCCTGTATGGACTGGGCTTAAGTAATTCTACTATATAAGACTACAGGCTTATCACTCTATCAAATTGAGTTTGGCCACCAGCTAATCTATTACTGGGACTAGGAGGAACGTACGAAGACATCTACTATAGTCCGTGAACAGATGTCTTATAAGGAAGTGTAGAGCTACGCTAAAGCTTAATACAACGCAGTAAAGCTAGCTATAGAGATAGCTTAATAAGGGATCGCTTAAACATAAGAGTGATAGGCTCAACAGGCTAATAAGAAGCGCCGCAAACCAAACTTCTCTACAGGAGACAAGGTGTATGTTATACCTAAGGACTTCACCACTAGTCAACCTAGCCAGAAGCTCGACCAGCAGATGTACGGACCCTATCCTATTATAGGCATGAAGGGATACTCCTATCACCTTAAGCTGCTGCTGTATATGCGCATGCTTGACGTCTTCCACGTAGACCACCTACAGAAGGCTTCTACTCACCCACTGTCTGGCCAAATTAAACCTGAGGAACCGCCTATCGAGATCAACAGGCATCCTGAGTGGCTAGTGCAGGAAATCCTTGATAGTCGCCTATTCCATAGCCGACTACAGTACAAAGCATCCTGGCTAGCTCATAACCCAGATCCTACCTGGTATAATGCCCGAGGCTTTATAGGCGCCCTACATAAGGTAAGAGACTACCATGAGGCCTATCTAGAGAAAGCAGGACCGCCGGCACGACTAGACGCCTGGTTGAAAACGTACGAAGCAGAGGAGGACCTGGAAGTAACAGAGGAGGACGACAAGGCGGCTTCAAAGACAAGAGTGGTACAGAGACTGGCAAGGAGAAGACTGTAACCTAGAGACTCAGGGACGAGCCTCCCTTAGAGAGGGGGTAATGTAACGGTGCTGCTTGCTCTGCTTGCTGTAGGCTACATAATATTGTGACTGGCTACGCTAGCCATGATCTAGCGCAGAGCCCGGAGCATGGCTAGCTCGCGCTCAGGCCATGCACCGCCCTATTTAGGGGCGAGCCCCCTTTGTACCTCTTCTCTCTCCATCTTAGTATAGCTGAAATAGAGCCAACTTATTCCGTTAATCTGTATTAATGCTATGACGCGTGAAGACCGAGCCTATCATCACATTAATACTATTATTTAATACCTATAAAAATAGCCTCTACTAGTATATATTAAAGCTTTTTGAATTAAAAAGTTTTTAAAACTTAATAAATATATAAAAAAACACCTTATTTAATATATAGGCCAGAATTTACTTCAAACTATTAAGATACTAAGTATATTATTAAAGGCTAGGTTCTAGATTTATATTAATACTATAAAAAATTACTTTACTAAAAATAAAATATATATATTCTAGCTTTAATAAAAGTCTTGGCTTTTTTATATATATAAAAAAAATTTGCATTTAATTTACTAAAATATATTAATATTAAGAGAAAGAAAAGGTAGTGTATATAAGTTTTTATAATTAAGTAATATTTAAAGTTAAATTAAATACTATATTTTCTTAAATATACTAATAGCTTAGCTATACTTATAAAAGCTAATATTTTAAGCTAATATTTAAATCTAAATATATAAAAGTAAATGTTTTTTTTAAAAAAAAAAATTTTAAGTTAAAACTCTTTATTAATAAAAAAAGAAAAAAATTACTATAAAATGTTATATTAAGATTTTATATAATGTTAGAATTTCGTTTCATTAAAAACTTATAAAAGAAAAAAGAGTAGTAATATAAATATAAAATAAAGCTTTAATTCACACTTTAAAGGCTACTTAAAAGTATATAAATAAGTATAAAATTTTATACGTAAATTAGCCTACTTAAAGCCCTAATTTAAATTCTATTAAAAATTATAAAAAAATTATAAAAGTAGATATTTTAAAAAAACGTAAATATATTAGAACTTAAGTACAAATAGTAAATATATTAAAAGAAAGAGTAGAATTAAATTACTTTATAAAACTATAAAAAGTATATTTTTTCTTAATTAAAGTATATAAAGAAAGTTATTAAAAACTAAAATAAATTAACTTACTACTAAACTTTTTAAAATACTAAGAAATTTTTTATATTTAGGTTTTATATAAAGCTAAAAAGCTTTAAATTTAATTAATTTTTACTAAAAATATAGTTTTTTTAATTAGGTAAACTATTTTATTATAAAACTTTAATTATATAGTAGCTATTAACTTTTTATAGCTAACATATATAACTACTTACAATAATAGTTATTTTAATATAATATTAGTATTAAATAATAGTAATAAATAATTTATAACTTAACTTTAAATATTATTAAAATAGAAAAATTATATTATATATATAATAAAGGACGTAAGCTTTTTTAATAAAAAGTCTATAAAAATATATATATAAACCTTTAAGTTAAAAACATAGCTATATAATAATATACAAATAGTTATAAAAAAATAAGAACTTTATTAATAAACTAATAAATTAAAAAAAAGTACTAAGTAATTTATGTAGTTAATAGTTAATAAAAGCATTATATAAAGTATTTAATAAAACAATATAATATAATTATAAATATAATTTATAAATATAATATTACTAAAGTCTAAAATACTAATTAATAATAATTAAAAATAAGTATTAAAAACCAATTTAGTAAAAAACTTACTAAAAAAAAGTTAAGTAAAATATATAATAAATTTTAAAAAAAGTAATTTAGTAAATTAAACTTAATTAAAAGAAATTACTTTAATTAAAAATAAATAAATAAAATTAACTTAATAAATTTAAACAAAAGTTAATTAGTTAAAAACAAAAAAAAATTTATATAAAAACGATTTTTTATAATATTTTATATTTTATAGTTACTATTACTTTTACTTTAAATAAATACTGTGTTTTAATTTTATAATATAATTTATTTTAATTTTACTATATTTTTAAAATTTTTTATACTAAAAACTTTATTACTAAATATTGTTATACTTTAATAAACTTTTAAAAGCTTTTTTTTTTATAATTTAATGTTATTAAATTAAGTAAAAATTTATTATTTAATACTAACTATATTTTAAGTATATAAAAATAAGTTATTAATAATGTTATACTAAAATATTCTAATAAATATAAAAAAAGTTATATAGTATTAAGTAGCTTAATTACTTAAAAAATAAGTATTTTAAAGTATAATAGTAGCTATTATATATAAACTATAAACTATATAATAAAAAGTTAAATTGCTAATAAAATACTTAATAATTTAAGTAAAAGTTATTTTATTATTAAGTAAAATAAACTTATAAGTAATGAGTTTAGTAAAAAAAAAGTACTTTTATAAAATTACGATATTAAGCTAAAAACTAACTTTTTTTTAAAAAATTTATACGTTTTGCTTATTATAGTAGTTGTTATTAGTACTAGTAGTTATTAAAGTTAAATACCTTTTAAATAATATGTTAATTTTTTTAATAAGTTTATTAAGCTATTTATATTTCTAGTTTAGTAAACTTAATTTATTTCACTTAATTATTATAGTATAATTTGTATTTAATAGCTAACTATTTATAGTATTTATAGTAAAATACTTAATAAAAAAAAATTTACTTAATTATATTTAATATTTTATGTAAATAAATATATCGTATATACTAAATCTTTTTAGTATTTAAAAAAGTATTTTTAAAAAAAGTTTTATGTAGCAACTAAACGTTTAGAAGTCAACAAGCTTTAGACGGCAGATGAGGCTGCAACACAACGCAAGAAGCGCCAAAGCGGATTCAGAAGCGAGGAACGCTAACAAAAGAAGAGGGCTCAAAGATAATTGCTCAGGCCAACGTTGATGCGCAGATTGAGGGCGAAAGGCGCCGGGGTAGGAGGTGCGCAAAGGTTGGCGCGCCGAAGCAAAGGCGCTGTGGACGCTGTAGAGAGACTGAGCATACTTCAAGAACTTGTAAAAAGGCTGAAGAATAGGACAGCTATTTACTAGTCAAATATTATAGCAATAGCTCTTAGTGTCAAGTTGTTGTTTATCTGCAAAGTCGTCGAACCTTAGTAAAGTGGGCCGTTCGCTTGTCTGGGCCGCTCACTTATCGAATACGTTATATATTGAGCCAACCCCTCAATAATGTTGAGATGGGTATCGAATGTTATTATTAGTACCATGGTTAGTACTGCCGATGAAAAGCGCCCTGCCTTTAACACAGATTGTAAGAGTGATTGTTTCACTTTTTACTTGAAAGAACCCCCCCAAGGTTCATCTTTTGTATCGTATATCGATAGTGGTATCAGGACGCAGTTGTTAACGGACGGAGTTGAATTTGAGAAATGCGTTGTTAGGTGAGTTTCTACGACTGCGATTCTTGGCGGGTTGTTGACTGTTGTAAGTGTTGGTGGCGATCGGCAGTTTCGGAAGAAAAAGTATGCAGTGGTTGTGGACACTGTGGCGATGGATGCAATCAGAATAACCCTAATCGTTGTATTGGCAAGGCTTCGCTAGGAGGTATCGAGTTGGGCTCAGTCGGGAGTCTTCCCTTCGTCGAGTGGTAGTTGGAGCGGACTGGAGGTGATGGTATGGTACTACAGTAGAAACTCCTTTGCGCGATACTCTTTTGGGCGATATTTCCGATTAGCCGATACTAGTGCCATGGCAGAATTGTCACACCTGCAAAATTTTTACTTACGCCGATTTACGATAAATCGGCTGCCTTACCTCAATTATCGCACAATCGAGTCAACACTTATGCCGCCAAAGGCTATATCCGACGTAGAAAGGCAGGCCCTACGCGCTTGTTACTTCTCCCAGAAGCCGCAGCCAGAGCAGAAGGATATTATTGCTTGGTTTGAGCAGTAATATGGCCGTAAACTTGGGCAGGCTACTATCTCTGACTTGCTTAAGGATTGCTATAAACATCTTAATAATGCGCCTGCCGCCAGCTCTATAAGCTTCCGTCAGCGCTCTGGCAAGTGGGAACTACTTGAAAAGATACTCTTTTTATGGCAGCAGCAGCTTGAGGCCCGCGGGCAGCTTGTCTCTGGTGAAGTTCTGCAGGCGAAGGCGAAAGATCTATAGGTTATCCTCCCTAAATACGCTGGCAAACCAATACCTAAGTTCTCACCCGGCTGGCTGGGCAAGTTCAAGAAGCGATTTGGCATAAAGCAATATACTTAGCATGGCGAGCTTGCCTCTGTCCCTGTAGCTGCTCACGCTGAGATGGGTCTTGTACAGCAGACCTGCCTGCTTTTCCTCTTACCCTATATGTACAATATGGACGAAATTGGCTGCTCCTGAAGATAATGATCCAGAGCCTACGCCGTCTCTAGAAGAGGCTCTTAAGGCTCTCACAATTGTGCAACACTTTGTGGAGCACTAAAAGGACACCTCCATTGAGGATACTACACTACTCTACCGTTTGGAGCGGTAATTAGACCTTCAGCAAGCAGGACTTGCAAGCAGAGCACTCTAAATAGGTGGATAACTGGCGCTAAAGGCTCTTTAGATAGTTCTTAGTCAGCTTCTCTTTGTGCGATAATTCGATATACGATAGAAATCACCTGGAAAAATTATATCGTGCAAAAGAGTTTCTACTGTACTTTGGTTTGGGGCTTTTTGCGGTTTTGAACTGGCAAGATCGGTGGCAGGCAGTGTTTTGGGCACTAGCAAGTGTTGGCCATGTGGCTGTGAGCGTGACAATGTGGTGCAGCTTGTGGTGCGAGTGGAATGAGTGGAAGGCGTGGATGCAGTGCTATTCCGTGGGTATCGCACCATGCGTGTACTGGGGAGTGTTGGTGTTGAGCCATGCGGTGCATTGTTGGCTGTACTAGAGTGATGGCAGATGGGAGTAGGTAAGATGAGTTTCAATTTTTTCGAGAGTCAGTGGGATTGGAGCGGCGAGGAACGGATTTTGTTTGAATTTCATCTTTTATATATACGGGTGGACGAGAATTGAGCTGGAGAGTAGGTACAAATTTGGGATTGCACTGGTACAGGGCCCGCGCAGCTTTGGGGAATCCGTTCTGAATCTTTCTTACATGATCACAAGCATGTGCAATATTCTTGGTCAAGCCGAAGAGGAGTTGCCGACCTTATACCAGATCGACCTCCTCACCTATGACCGTAGTGTCTCCATCCTTGCATCCTTCCCTCAACATTCGCTCCTGACATTGCATACCTGTTCTCATCTCTTATGCTGTCTTTAAATACGCGTCCCTAGGACATACTGCGCATAACTCGCCCAGGTCTATTTCATATCGTTCCTGATATATTACAGCTTAATCAGGACATTCCAACTTGTCAATCTGCCGAACTAAGCATACAGGTCTGGGTTTGCCAGCTTCGAGCTCTTTCCAAATAGCCACTATCAAATTGGCAAAGGGGGGTTAACAGGACGGACAGTGCAGGCAAGAAATTCCATAGCCATCTCTTCTCGATCGTGCTTCACCTCTATAATGTCATCAGTGTCCGGGCCCTCATTCGCTGAGAAAATCACTTTCCTGCACTAATTCCGTCATGGGGTGTGATATCCCCGCCCACTGCTTCTGCCCATGTCGTGGAGCAATGCTATAAACTGGACCTGTATTCGTGTCTCCTCATCAAACTAGCAATTCATTAGCAATGGAGGGCATTGCAGGCATTTGTAGGTAAATTGTCTCGCTGGGTGCAGCGGTGTGATGATCGTGTTTATAGAACGGCACGCATTGCCCGTGATAGCTGTGAAAACTATCACAGACATCAGCAATTGATGTATAGTTGAGGGTGAACGCTGGCATCCAGACTCGTTCTCGGCGCGAGGTGTATTAAAAGACCAGCGGCTGAGTTAGGAACTGCATGCAAGCAATTTTCCGTAGAGAGCTTACCAACGTGAAGTGTGATGGAATCTGTCACTGTTATAGTAGAAGCATTGAAGGGGAATCGTTCAGTACCAAGCGCGGAGCATATAAAGGCATCCAGCGGCGCTCCAGCACAGGACTTGAAAATGCGGTGCCTGTTGTGATCATTTGCACAATATTGAAGAGGGGGTAGAGCGGCTTTCATCAGGCCGACTGAATGGAGCTGGAGAGGATAGATGTTACGTCGGGTGAAGGTGCCTAGACAAAGGGTTGCATAGTCACCCATTCCCCAATCTTGAATCTTCGCGTCCTCGTCACCGGCCAACATCAACAAAATGATCCTCGGCCATTTAGAGTAGCTGCACTCCTTACCGGAACTTTGGCACTCAACAGCGGCTGGAGAAGTGAGAGAAAGCAGATTTGAGAATCAAGAAGTTGAAGGCCTCGTTGGCGCGCCTACTCTGCGCAAGATTCTTTCATCCTCAGCTCCTTTCACGTACCGCACAATGTCTTTCATACTTCTTGAGTCCATCCTCATGGCCATCGGCACCGATTTCTTCTTGCTATGCACGACAACGGCCAGTTAGATTTACACTTTCCTTGAAAATGAAAGTGTTGTGCGAAGCAGCGCTCCCATTCGTACGTACTACGACGCGTAGTTTACGGCGTAGGAGCTCTAGCGTGCCGTACGAACGTAGCGTGAGTTCGAGTCGTAGCGTAGCCGTAATTGAACTTTTTTTTGAGGCGTAATTACGGCATTACGGCACTACGGCGACCTTCCTGGAGGGTGTTTGTACGCGTTTTTGACGTGTTGTAGGTGCTCGATTGACGCTCGGATCGCTGGGTGGTAGAACTCTTCTGGTTAGCGTGCACGGCCCGCCAGCGTGCACACAAAAACATCAAAATTCGTCCATCTTCAAATCGACCCCCCACCACCAAAATGAACGCTATTGAGGCCGCGCTTGCTGATTTAGAATCGCAAGATCATCCAAATTATTCTGCAAGTGCGAAAAAAATATAATGTCGATCGATCTACGTTGTCGCGCCGCCATCGAGGTGCTGCCGTCTCCCGCGAAGGATATATTGAATCCATTAGTATTCTTACCAAGGAGCAAGAAAACAATCTCATCTCTTACATACGGAAGCTGACAGCGATGAGCCTTCCACCTACGAATGCAATGGTGGAGAATTTCATCCATGACCTTACAGGACATTAGGTTCACAAGGATTTTGTTACTGGCTGGTGAAAGAAACACTCAAATATCCTAGGATCTTCCTATCTCACACCAATCAACTTACAGTGTACAAAAGCTGATAATAACTTTCTATACAGTCGATACTTCGATTTTGTAAAGAAAAGAATTGCTGAGTATAACATCTAGCCCCATAATATGTATAATATAGATAAGAAAGGCTTTCTTATTAGGGTACTAAATAAGCAGAAAAGAATCTACTATAAGTCAAATTATTAATTAGAAAAGCTTAAGGGTGCTAAGTAAAATAGAAATAAGAATTAAATTATAGTATTAGCCTTAATTTATATAAATAAATCTTACCTTTTACTAGTACTTATTTATAAAGGCTAGTTAGGAAACATATAAAACTTATAGTTTTAAGATTATAACCCTTCTTTTTAAGAAGCCTTCTTTACTATATTTTTTACTAGCTAGATAAACAATAATTTAGGATTTAAGTAGTTAATAAAGATATTTGATTATTACTTAAAGCTAAAAGTAAGAAATAAAAGAAACTAGTACTTACTAATTATTAATAGCTATAAATCTTATTTTAATATATAATTTATTAATTAGGTAATTGCTTATTATATAATTTTTTTTTTTTTTTTTTTTTTTTTTTACTCTACCTATATACTTTAGCTACTTAATGTAGGACTATTTTAGCTAGTATTAAATTTTTATACTAAGAAAGTAATAAAATATATATATTAAATATAAAAACTCATTAAAATTACTAAACGGAACTTTTTTAGGTTTTTTTAAGTTACTTTTACTAAGGCCTTTATAAAAAATAATATATTAAAAAAGTAGCTAAAAACTAGCATATATTTTTTTTACTTTTAAGAGAATTCTTAACTCTTTACTAAAAAAGTGTTAAAAAAAAAGTTCCTATATCTTTTTTATAATAAGAACTAATTAACCTTTATTAGTAAAAAATATAAAAAAGATTTAGAAACTATTTAATACTATAATTTTAGAAATAAGTTAGAAAGAAAAGCAGCTTTAATTAACTATATAAGAACTAGTAAATATAAAGAATTTACTAAAAAAGAAAGTAAAGAGGCTTAAGCTTATTTTAAAAGTAAATATATATATACAAGAAAATTATATTTAACGAGCTTTAAAAAGTAGATAAAAGTAATTATCTTTTTTTTTAGTCTCTAAAAAGTGTCTTTTATATGTAATCTTTAAGCTAAAAGAGAACAAACAATTTTTTTTAAAAAAAAAAAAGAAAAAAAGAAAAAAGACTTAAGGTAATAGCTAAGAAGCAAAAGAGACTTACTATTAAATAAAAAAAATAAGAATATAAAACTTTAAAAATTTAAAAATTTAAAAGAAGATTTAGTATAAAATAAAATAGAAGTAGAAAAAGCTTATATATAAGAAAACTTTATATACTAAAAAAGCTTAAAAGTAACTTAAAAACAATTTAAAATTAATATAATATAAGAAAAAGAAAAAATTTAGAATAATTACTGCTATTACAGAATTTCTTTTAGATATATATAAAAAGAAAAGGTTTTTTAAAGTAAATCTATTTTTAATTTATTTAAGATATATAAAAAAGCTTTCTATATAATTTAGAGATAATATAATTAAAATAGACTAACTTACAAATTTTAGTTACCTATTATACTATAAATTAAAGTAATTTTAACTATTATTTAGTTATAACTAATTTTATTTTTAAAGTAGTAATATAGTAAACTAAGTGTGTACACTAACTAGCTATATATACTAACTAAAAGAGTTCTAATTTAAATTTTAGATATTAAATTTTTTAAAGATTTAATGCTTATATGTTGTTAACTTACTATATATATAATAAAGTATTACTTATAGTCTTAGACTTTTTAAGCTTTTTTTATGTCTTTATTCTATTATTTATACTATTTAGCTATTTTAAAAAGGCTCTAGAAAGCTACTACTACCTTTAAGTTTCTATTACTATTTTTTTATAATAGTATATTATTAAGCCGTCTAGCTTATAAGTATTTAGAAAATAACTTCTATATTATTAGAGTATAATTTAATATTAACTAAAGCTATATTTATTACTATTAGAGTTACTTAATATCTGCTAGAGT